GGATCTTCCCGGAAACACAAGACGCCAAGACGACGATAATCTCGTGGCTCAGATAAGAAAGAAGCTGGAGGCTGAGTATGATAAAAAACTTGAGGTCGAGATGAACTCGAGGGAGGAGCGGCGAAAGGAAAGGATGACAATACTTGAGGGACTTAAGAGAGGTATGGTTCTGAGGCTCTCTGTAGAGTTTTCTTTGCTGGTGAGGTTTGCATATTAATATCGTGTGCAGAAGTCGAGGCAATTAGGAGAGAGGCTGTGGAGCAAGCCGAGAAGAAAGCTCGAGTGGAAGCTCAAGAACGAACCGAGCAACTAAAATCGGAGAGACTCCTTGAAGAGAGCAGATTGGAGAAAGAAAAGGCAATGGCGAAAGCTGAGGCGGCTGCAGCTGAGTTAGATGCAAAGTTCAAGGCTGCAAGGGAGATGGCTATCAAGGAAGTTGAGAAAAGGATGAAAGAAGAATCTGAAATACGAAAGATGGTAAGCCTCTTTGAACTTGGCCGAGGAGTTTCATGCGTCTACAGAGAGGCAGATGCAGCTGCTCTTAGTCCCTTGTTTCCCCTCCATGCCTTTCGCTGACTATTCCAGAAGAAAGAGGATGAAGCACGAAAGCAGGCCGAACACGAGATTAAGAAGAGAATAGAGGCCGAAAAACGGGCTTATGAAGAAGCCAAGGCGGCTGAAAAGTTGAGAGAGGAAATACGGCAGAAAGCCGAGGCCGAGATGCGCGAGAAGCAGCAAGCTGAGGAGAGAGCTCTTGAGGCCGCCATGAAACAAGTCGAAGAAGAGAGAACACGACGATGGGCAGCTGAGAGAGCCGAGAGAGACGTTGAAAATCAGAACCAGATCCATTTCAAGGACGCCATAGGGCGTAAATTCACGATTCCATTCAGTCAAGGACACACCTGGCAGGTAAGGCGGCATCGAATCACAAGTTGGTTATAGGTATAAGATGACTGATGCTAGCACAGGGTTTCCGGGAACTTCTTGAAACAGCATTTGCTCATATCGACGTCGTCGGGCCGTAAGTAATTTTCGGAGTCATACCCCTGTGTTCGCCGTTATAAGAGTAAAAAGCTTCTTTTCAGGCTGGAACCGTATCCTATAACGTTTCCATACTTTCGAAATACTCATAGACAACACTTGAAATAACGACAACTAACTCCTATTGCAGCGAGGTGCAAGAGGGCCACTATGATTTGATCGGTCCTGATGGGAGCATCATCCTACCACAGGCCTGGGAGCAGATCATCCAGCCCGGTTGGAACATCACGATGCAGATGTGGCCAATTCTACCGCCTAACCCACCGCAACCCCCGGGACTGGTCCAACCTTCGCTTTTGGGACCAAATGTACTAGCAAGTGGCTCTCCCCCTCCCCCACCTCCTGCGCCTCCAGACCAGAGTGTGAATGCCGAGGCGGTGATTGATGAGTCCGACGAACAAGTGCGGAACTCGACGGAGCAGTCAGGCGACGACATATCATCGGGTTATGGTTCAAGTACCGGCTCTTGGAAAAAATCATCCCGCACAAGGAGGATAGCGAATGCGTTCTCAGCATTGAAAACGTCGATATTTCGCAGGCGCCGGCGCGTCGCGTCCGCTACCGCTTCGTCAACGGCATCGTCGCTTGGAGACGCCTACGTTTAGTATTCTTACATGCCCGAGCTGCGCGTGATAATGCGCGAAGAGCTGCTGAGGCTTATGCCACCACAGCTGAACCGATATCAAATACACGAAGCATAAGTAGCTCGGAAAGTTATGTATCGTACATAGGGAGTTGTTCGAACAGTGCGTTCTCTACGGCGTCAGATATGCTTGATTGTGCAGGACTGCTCTCTAGGTACACTGATTCAATGTGTTGTATATACGCCTTCATGTTCCTGAGGCTACGGCAAGCAACCGGATGGACTAGGATGATAGTACCCTGCTCGATAAAATCGCGGCCCGTTCCCAAGCTCGGACTGCCTATGACTGGGTTTCGCGCCAGTTTATTCGCTAAGGGGCACGAAAGGGCACACGACACTATCCAGTCAGCAGATGGACTCCCCAAAAGACACGGCCCACGGCAGCGTTAACGATCGACGACGTGCGAGAAACAGCAGTCGCCCGCCGACCCTTGCGATGCTCGAGCCCAGCCTAGAGGCCTCCGTTCCGTAGAGCTTGTTCAGTAATGCTCAGCAAACGGCAGACTCTATGCTGTCGCAGAATGAATGGAGGTAGGTAGGACTGACTGCTCTTCTGACTATTCAGAGCTTGCGGTTTCATTATGGGAAAACTATGCATGCGTCAAGCCGGGTTAGATAAAAGCTTGCGACGAATGTGATGAGAGGTAATGCCTGTCACGCTTTATTGAGGATGTCGAATGTGGTCAGGGGAAAGAGTGAGGAGGACCTAATGTTTGCGACTATTGCCGGCGTAAAGTTTACCACGTCTGTGGGGTCTTCGAGACAGCAGCATGCGAGATACGACGCGCAGGACACGGAAAGTGAGGGGCTAGTACCATGCGAACGTGGGGCCTTAACGATTCTTGACGATTCTATATTTAATGATGATGAAGGTTGCTCAGGGAATGGGACTGTTGGTGGCTGGGAAGGGGGGGCATTATTCGAAGACGTCGCTGTGTGATACATATTCAAAAGGTTGCGGCTACGTATATGGGGCAGGTGTTTGTATACAGAGATATTATTGCTATGATTTCTAGTCTGTACATCGCCACAACCTCGAGTCTAAGGTGGACGCCTCTATCTAGCGAGAAAATCTTTGCGGAATCTATCTCCCCAGTATCTTCATTCCGGGTCTGGTCTCTCGTCCGACGCCTCCTCAACTCTAGAATATGAGGGTAATTTTAAAAAGAGGGACGCGCAAAACATCAAAACGCATAGACCGGATATGCCAAAGTAAGGTAATCCGATCCAGACACCACCAAGTCGCATCCCAAGTGAGAATAATGCTGCAAGTGACGGTGAAAGCCACAAATCACTTGCGATGGCCGAGAGGCCTAAGATGGTGAATAGTCGGGTCCGCTGTTCAGCAGTGACGTAGAGTGTAGCTATCCTTTTGAGGTAACCTTCGCTTGATACGCCGAACGCGAGGATGATAAGACCAAATATGAATCCAGACAGGGATCCAGACAGGCCGAGGATGAACGTCCCGGTCATTGATGCTATATATGACGCCCGGGCCAGGAACAAGTCGCGTCGTTTGTCATCATCAAAGCGAAGAAAAGCCGGTGCGCCAGGCTTTACAATTGCCGATGTAACCCACGGCATTATGACGAAGGAAATAGCGATGAAAGCAATGCCGTAGGTAGATTGGATGTAGCCTGTTTCCGAGATGGGGATGTGATAGCGTTTGGAGGTGAACTGGCTGAGGAACTGGTAAGTACTGAGCACGAGCGAGAGCTGAAGCATTGTGATGAGTAGGATTATGATCATCGACGGGGAGGCAAAGACTCTGGCCGATTTCTTCAGTTCGCCAAAGCTCTGCGCAAGGGCTGCCTTGAACTTGCTACTGCCCATCGTATCATCATCGTGGGGGTCGTGTTTTAGGCTCTCCGGGACGAGGAAGACAACGAGTGCCGGAAGCACGGTCAATAGGAAGGATATAAAGAAGGGCGGCCAAGGGCCTGTCGAAGCCATGAGAGTCGAGGCCAGGGCTGGTGCAATCAGATTGCCGACCATGCTGGAGCCGTGGATTTGCATGAAGCTGACGGATCTAATTCCCCAGTCATCAATAATAGCCCTTGGATTGTGGCAAAAGACTCACCTCTGGGACTCCGGCACTACATCTGTTGCCATGCTAGTGATGGTGGCGGAGAGAACGGGATTGCCACCACCGAGCAGATAAAATATTGGCGATAGCCAGATCAGCCGCGGAGAGAGGGTTTGAGGGAACCATCCAACGACCATAATCCAGAGTATCGCAAGGGACATGCCGATCAAACCCATGGCAAACACCGGACGTCGGCCAATCCTGGACGGGGTTAGGACAGACGACAATTCCCCGAAGAGAATGCACGCAGACTTACTTGTCGGCGGCGATACCCCACGGCAATGCAGCGAGAACGCTCACGGCGGCGTTGAGCGACGACATGATGGCGAAGAGGTACGCGAGCTTGGACTGAATGGCGGCATCCTTGCACATGTCTTCGTCGATGGGCTCGCCGTGGCTATGTATCTGGTCGTAGTACTGGCGACACAAGATATCTTCGAAAATCCTCGTCATGGGCATATTCTGGAACCCGCCCGCCGCGGAGCCGACGAAGATGACAACACAGAGGATGAAGACGACAGCGCCGGGCTTCTGGGCCGTCGGCACCGCACGAGCGAGCCACGCAACGGGAGACGTCTTTCCTCGAAGCCTCGGCCCGTTGGCATGGGCATGGGGAAACCCACTCGTGGCTGGCGGTGCGGCGATGAGGGGCGTTTGCTCGGTCATATCGGCGGTTTCATGCTCGTCAGAGCCCGACGGCGCGGCCATCGTCGCGGGGGTCGTCTGGCAATTGAGGGGGAAAAAATAAAAAAATGAATAAATAGGTAAAAGATGAAGAATGAAAAACAAGTATCTACGGATTCATTCCCTAACTGGGCGTCTATCTACAATGAGTGGACATCCTTGAGGACATGCTATCTTTCAGTGGCTGGCTTTTTGTATGTATTGAGATCTAGATAGATCGTAAGCAGGTCAGGGCGGCGCTGTGGGCTGAGAGGGACCTGGGAAGCGTCCCCACGCATAAGCACTAACGCCAAGACGTGGCGGGCTGAGATAGGTAAAGTACGTACCATTCTACCGGTATACCTACTGCAACTCGGAGTTCTGCCTATTAGGTACGTAGCACCACTGTTGGAGCCACATCCAAAAATGGCGATTTAGCAAAACAAAGGAAAAATAGGATTGGACAAGATTTTTATGTTATTTTATTACTATTATCATTTCTTTCAAGAAAGAAAAAAGATTCAAAAGTTTGGCTGCTACTCCAGTGACTGGAGGCATCAGGAATTGAGCCCGATGCGGGGGTCGAACCTATGTTCGGATTAGTATTGTCATGTAGATTTTGTCTTCTGATCGAGATGCTCACCCGCAACCTTGAGATTAAGAGTCTCACGCTCTACCGATTGAGCTAACCGGGCAATCAAGCCGTTGAGAGCAGAGAGTATTTGAAAACACTTATACATTGCGTTGTGGTTTTTGGTAATACTTTCTGTGGTCTGTGAATCGTACCAAAGTATTGGGTCGTCAACACTATACCCATCTAGGTTAGAGTAGGTACCTAAGTACCACCACACAGGGCATGAATTAGTGGGGTTAGGGGAGTGCCTAGGTACCTATTCCGAACTCCGAACACCGTCTAGCTAGTGCAGACCAGTATTGACGCGAGTGTGTTCCAGGGTGTCACGTCGCATTGTTACCTACAAATTGAATGAGACCTACCTAGGTTGATGAATTATCAAATCCCCACCCGTCTCTGATTCAAAGATGGGTGGTTTTCTTTCGCCTCACCCGGCATCGAGCTAGGATTGACTTTAGACACCATGCGTGCTTGGTAAGAAAATCAGGGCTCAAGTCATTAGGATGGACCGACAGACCGACCCTCTCATCGTTGTCAATGTCCAGCGCCGCGCACTCTTCTATACTATTATATCTCGTTTGCTGGCCATTCCTCGTGTGAAGGTTATGCATCTGTGGTTGCTGACTTATTAGCCCTCGATCTATCTGTATCACCCGCGGCGATACGTCGGAGCTGACTAGGTACTTACACAGTTGGATTCTAGGCTACTCACGAGAATCCCGACTGATGACTTAATCGCGCTGCATACCGCACTACCTCATAAGAAGAGGGTTTATGATCGAGAATTTTCTCCATTGCTCCATTGATGCTTCCAACTCGAGCCGAATATAAACAACGAATATGAACAACGAGGACCCAATACTGTATATTTGGGGTCAATCCCTTGCCAGCCTTTGGCACCCAAACCTCTTCTCGCACAAGAGAGGAGGATATCGAGCTTGAACAGGGGGTTATACAGCTGTCCTAACTCCCGAATATGGAGGATTTGGGATATTCCGCAACATTCCCGATGCACAACCTCCAGTCGGAAAGTAACGATGGAGGCCGCCAGCAGCGCGTTGGCCGTCAAGTCAGCATCACTCTTCTTACAGACTCCGACCTCCATCAATGCGACATCTGAAACGCGGTTCCGGTGGTAGTTCTGCGGCCGGGGGCTAGGTACTCCGTCCTAGAATCCAGCCGGTTGGATAAATTGGTCTTAGCATGATATCGTAGTGACAATCAACTACGAGGTCAACATATTCCTGTTTCCGAATGTCCCCGGCCTTGAAACCCAAAATGTCGGCATCCCCGATCAAAATTCGCCCTAAATGAATGCATAGAGTTGGTTTTAGAGGAGACCTGAACCACTTCACATTATGGGGTGTCACTCCGCAGCTGTTATGTTCTGAATAATAAATTTGAATTGTAAAAGTAATAGTCCTTATCTATTAATCTACGGACTAAAACTAGCTATATAGATAAGATTACGTATATAGATCTACACATAGCGAAACTCCTTTTAACTAAGCATTATAAATAAAAGAAAATTGATTTAATTTAGCTATAGCAATAAAAACTAATTTAGCATAGCTTTTTTTAGTAGTAAAAATATATAAATATATTAAAAATAATTAGAAATTATTAATAAATAATTCTAATATAAATAAAATAATTTAATAATATTAAAAAAAATTAAACTTAACTTATAATAAATAAATAAAAAGTATTAAGTAGTTTAGCTAATTATATAAATATTAGTTCTTTTTTTAAGAATATTTTAAAGTTAGATTATTTTTTTTAAACTAATTAAGTTTAGCTTTAATATAATTAAAATATTTATTATAGCTTTTATTATATTTGTTATAATATTTAACTATTTTTTTTTAATTATAATTTAGGTTTAATTAACTAGTTATATTTTTATTTTAATAATCTAAAACTAAAAATATTAAATATTTTTTTAAAATATTATAGTTTATAATTTAAACTAATAATTTTAAGTTTATATTTTGTTTTAATTGTTTAATTATAGTTTTAGTTTTTTTTAATTTAGCTTAAGCTATTTTATAGTTATTTTTAATTTTAATACTTTTTTAATTTTGCTATATATTACTTTGCTTTAATTAATTAATTTTTTGTTAATTTTTAAATATTAATTTTTTTAGGTTAATAATTTTAGTTTTTAAGTTAGTTATTTTAGCTAAATAAAAATTTTTTGTTAGGTTAAGTACTAAACGTTTAGTATAGGCTTTTTTTTTTAGTTTTTTAAAAAAAAATTTAGATAATTTATTAATAAATTTTTTATTTATAATAAAAAAAGCTAATATAACTAATTTAGTTTGGTTAATATATATACTAGTTTAGAAATAAAAATCTAATTATTTTATTTAAACTTAAAAAAAAAAAAAAATTAAAATAAAATTAATTAAGTATTGCTTTTTATTTAATAAAAAAATAAAAAAATTAATATTTATATTTTATATATTTAGTAGTTTGTTTAAATATTAGATTAGATTATATTAAACTAAATAGTTTTTAAAGCTTTTTTATAGTTTATTTTTATTTTTTAAAATAAAACATTAATAAACTTTAATATTTTCTAATTTTATAAAATTATTTTTTTATAAAACTTTTTATAAATTAAAATATTTATTTATTTTATTAATTAATTTATATAGGTTATATATAAAAATATATATTATAATTTTTTTTTAAATAAATCAAATAGTTAACTTATAAAATTAGCTAATCTAGTTTCTAGCTTATAAATACTATTTTTAATTTATAATAGCTATAAAAAAATTAATAATAATAAAATATTTTATTTATATAAAAAGCTTAATTTTTATAAAGAACTTTTAAGCATTATTTTTTTTTTTAGTATTAAAAATATTAAAAGTTAGTTTTTAAAATATATTAAAATTTTTAACTAAATATTAAAAAAAAAAAAAAGTTAATTTTTTTTATTTTTATATTATATTAAATAATATAAAACAAACTAAAATATTTAAAAATAAAAAACTTTTAAGTTAAAAATAATATTTATTATTTTTGCTAAAAAATAAAAATAACTAATTATTGTTTATTTTTAAATAAAAGCTAAAATTAGTTTTTTTATATAAAAGTATTATTACTAAGATTTATTAATTAATTATATTTAATTTATAAAAAACTAAATATTTTATAAGTCTAAAACATTTTTAAAAGTTCTTTTAATAATAAAAAAATATATTAAATTATAAAAATTATTAAATATAATAACTAGTATTAGAGCTATTATTTAAGCTTAGAAATCCTTTATTATTTATTTAATTTTTATTACTTTAAGAACTAGGGTTTTTTTTATATAGCTTTTTTTTTAAACTTATTAGTACTAATTTTTAAATAGTTCTATTTTTATTTATTTATTATTTTTAATCTTTTTTTTAGTGCTATTTTTTTATTTTTATTAGCTCTAATATCTATTTTTTAACTATTTCTAATTTTTTTATTTATTTAAATATCTAATCTAGTTTTTATTTTATAGTAGCTATATTATTATTTTAAATAACTAATGCTATACTTATATTTTTTAAAAGATTATTATAAAATAAAATATTTAAAGCAATAAATTTTTTTTTAATATTTATAAAACTTTATTGTTTAGTTTATTTTTATTTTTTAGTTTATAAAAACTAATCTTTTAGTTTATAAAAACTAATCTTTTAGTTTTTAATAAATATCTAAACTTTTTAGACCTAATAATATATTTTTATTATAATATTTATTAAAATTATAAGTATATTTATTAACAAAATGCTTATTATTGCTTTTTGTTTTAGACTTTTTTTATTTTAAGTTTTAAAGATTTTTTTTTAATCTATAGTATTAGTTAGATTTTTGTTTAGATCTACTAGAATTATTTCTAGTTTTTTTTTTTGTACTTTTTTATATAAATCGGAAGTTTTTTTAATATTTTCTAGTTTTTTTAAATTAATAATATTAGTAAAATCGCTCTTATTATTTAAGTTATTTAAGCTAAACTTTTTATAAGTATTATTAGAGCTGCTTTTTTTTTTTACTAAAGGTTATTTTTTAATCTAATAATTATTTTAATAATATAAATTCTTTAATAATTAGTTAGCTAGAATAATTAATCTAATTTTTTTAAGTTTTTTTTAAAATATATTTTAATTAAATATTTTAAGCTAAAACAAATATAAAATAGTTTAGTTTAAGCAAATTAAAAAAAAACTTAACTTAAAAAGTTTATTAATTATACTAGCTATACTAAGTTTTTTATTAAAAAGTTCTTATTATTTTAAAGCTATAAAATATTTTTATTTTATTTTTTTAAAAATAATAATAAATAATAAAAAATCTTTTTTGTTTAATTTAGTTTATTAAAATATTATACTAATATATAAATATAAATATATTTTTTTAAGATATTATGATATTTTGCTAGTATTAGTTTTAAATAAGTAAATAGGTTTGGTTTTTTTAGTTTTTATTAAAAAAAATTAAATAGTTTTAGATTTAGTAATAAATTAATCGTACGCAATTATGGACCCCTTCGTACGAAGGGGTCTAGCCAAGGGGGGTCTAGGCCAAGGGGTCCGGCTAGGACCTACCTATAGACCCTTCCGTACGGAAGGGTATATAGGGGGCTCCTACCTACCCATTTCCTTCCTTTCTTTCCTTTCCTTTGAGTGTGGCATATAGTGAATAGACTGTATTCCACCAACCTTGCAGGCATGTACTGCTGCCTTGGAAATATGCAGTACACTCCATTCAAACATTTTTAATATTTTTATAGCTAGTAAGCTTATTATTATTATTTTTTTAGTTTAAAAATAAATGTTTAGTAAGCTAGTTTTTTATTAGTAATAAGCTAAATTAAAAATTATTATTAGGTTTGTTTTATTTTTTATATTATATTTTAATATAAATAAAGTTTTTATTTTTCTAAATTAGGTAGTAAATATTAGAAAAAAAAGTTAGTTTATTTTATATTAATTTAATTAATGCTTTATTTTTTATAAATATTTTTAAATTAAAAACTTGTTTAATAACTACTAAAAAACTTTATTAGATAAA